GGTAGAGGTGAATCTACCCAAATTCATACTAAGTTTGAATTTGGGGCGTTCCCTACAAATTCCAATGCCTACGTCGAGGCCCATTTTGACCCATCGGTATACCATGTAAGCTGCCGACCTTACAGATAACCTGTCTATTCAGCCAATCTTCTCTGGAGGTTATTTCCACTATATACTTTTTGTTAAAAGTGTACAACGGCCGCATGGTATCTGAAATCATGCATAAGACCGATGATTCCTTAATTGAGTCGAGCATCGAAGCAAAGCAAAGCAAGTTCAGCAAAGTAAGTTCAGACCGCCCTGGGCGTTAATCCTACGCAAACTAGCCCTCGCCTCCTTGTCTAGATAAGAATCAAGGGGCGTTAGGCATAGAAGTGGATTAAGAGCCGCTCCAGGCGATGATTGCAGTTGCCATTAAGCAGGCAGTATTTTGCAAAATATTTAGTCTGTCTGCAGTCGACTTTTGGTTGGCTTTATAACACCAGACAGTGGAGGCGTAGGTAAGAGTCAGCCTCACTATCCTACTGTACAGCCAAAGGATCATACTGGGACGCAAGCCCCAGTTGTTCCCAACCATGCGACTGCACGTACCTAAAGCAATTTTAGCCTTATGACATACTCGTACGTGGCTAAAGTGTGAGTCCCATTAGTTTTCGGTCGATTGTTACGCCCAAGTACTTAACTTCAGTGGATATTAGAACTTCTTTACCATTAAGTTTTGGTGTGACTAATTTATCCAAACGTCTCTTTTTGTAAAGGGTATTATTATAACAGTTTTATCAGTATTTATGGTGTTCAGGGCTCTTTGTGTAACTAGTGATAAAGTACTTTGGCAAAAACCCCTCGTAATGACCACAAGGTCATCAACAAAACCCAGTGTGTCAATGCGAAGGTCTGCCATCTTGTACATGAATTGGTCAACTGCAAGCGTCCAAAGAGGTGACAAAACACTTCCTTGTGAGGCCTTCCCTCTTGTAGTTGCAACCTCAATCAAGTCAAGTTTGAAACAGAGCTATTTTTGCATTTCTGTTTGAGAGCATCGACTTCCCCACCTAACGCTTGTGGGTTCAACATTTTTAGATGTCAGTCACTCAACCAGCAGCGATCTGGGGCTATTGTCGAAGGTGCCCTCAATATCTAGAAGAACACAAAGCACTATTTCTTTATCCTCCAGCGATTTTTCTACCCTGTCAATATCACTGATCACGACTTTTTTCGTAGATCTGCCTATACGATAATCATGCTGGTTGTAATCTATAGGCCTCGTAGCTAGAGCTACATCCCCAATATATCTCTCTATAACCTTATCTAATGTCTTGAGAAGATAGGAAGATAGGCTTATAGGTCTAAAGGAACTTAGTAAAGCGTAGTCCTTTTTACCAGCCTCAGGTATAAATAAAACTCTGACGATTGTCCGTTGTATTGTGGAATATATCCCCAGGCAAGTCTTGCTCTGAAGATTTTCACCAGGTAAGGAAGAAGGATATCGATACCCCCAGTGCCGGATTAAGCAAGTGCGGGTCCCGTATCATGTTCTATCGAGGGGCCCTTGATCTGCTATGGGTCAAGTAAAAAGTGGTAAAAGAATTTCAATACTCAATACGTTTATTTTCCATCTATAGGTTACGATTTTGTTGGTGTTTAATAATACAATAGATAACAATATGCCCTGTTAGACGTCAGCCTTCAAGTGAGAATTCATGTTATAATCAATTCATATCAAATCGTTTTCAATTACTGCACGGAGAGAGGAGAATAGTTCTAATCCCAATGTAGAATGGTAATCATTACATCTACATCTATCTTCAATTAAGAACCTAAATACAAACGCGTTATCACACTCGTAGGCTAAGATGATATGCCTCTTTTCACAACAGCATTCACTGCTATTTTACGCTGGTATTCTGCGAGCGCGTGGTCCTGCCCCGGTCGAGCCGATCATGCTAACACCATAATATAGCTGCACCGTGACTAAATCACGTTTAAAAGATATCGAAATTACCAATAAAAAACGCACCAACAAATGCTTGCTCATGATTTTTTGTAGAGCCGATTTTCGGTTTATACGAGTTAGTTTATGTAGAACTTATGCGCTTGCCGTAGGAAATTCTGTGTTTTATTTTCGCCAAGGAAATAAACGGTTAACGATTGTTTGGCGTGGATTGTCTTGGCCAGAATAGGTGTATAGTTTCACGTTTTTTGTGGCATCAAGTAAATTCAATATACCACGTCATCATAAGTTCCACTCAAAACATTACGCTCAGGTGACTGTGGACGGGCTTAGATACGCGAGGCCCCCTTTTGCGCGGGGCCGGTAGAAATTGCTACTCTTGCTGCGTGGTTAATCCGGCACTGGATACCCGTCTATAGTTAGATGGGATTTATTCTATCCTCCCCCGCTCCGATTGATTTGCACATCTCCGGAACCGTGCATCCTACGCAAAAATGGACCGCAGATTCGTGATCAGAGCATACCAAGACTTTTTTTTTTTTGGATCGTGTGTCGACGAACGTCGTAATTGTACCACGTCAGTTACAGTGCGCCAGAACTGGTACAACCTAACTACTACCATGTTATCCATATATACTCTGATAGTCAAGACAAAAGTCAAACTTAGTGAACTCGAAACCAGTTGAAGACTGCGTGAACCGTCTAAACAACAGGGTTGTTTTAAGATGTTTTTTTGTGGCGTTTAAGGCGTTTTGATCGTAAATTCTCTTAAGAAACTCTGAGATTAGGTAAAAATAAACTGCGCGTTCTGACAAGAGCCCTGACTGGACACCGTTATCTTAAAAGGCACATGCCCATCTGGTACAAATGAACTCAAGGATTTGCTTATTCTGTTTCTTAACGGAAGAAACGCCTCTGCATATACTAATTGATTGTAGACCCTAAATGTGCAAACGTAGCACTCATCTTGGAAACTATGTACTCCGCAAAGAAGAAGTGAAATTTCTCACAGCTAAGCAACTTCTTCTATTCATTGAAGACGTAAGGCTTAGCAGTGAACTATAGCTATATACTGGTGTTTCTAGACCTGCATAGCTGTTCGCACAAAATAAAATAAAAATACGCAATATCGAAAATATTGTGAACAATATTGTGAATCAGTTGTGAACCAATTTTAATGACGCTTTTTTATTAAATATGTTAGTAATTTAGGGAAAGAAAATAATAGAAAAAAGATAAAAAAATAATTCAGAGAAAATAATAATTTTGGAGAAAATATTGCACCCCAAATGGTGCTAAAATAGGTGTGACGTTTTTAATGTAACAATTTAGACGACACTGAGAAGGGTAAAAACATTTTATTCAAAATAATTGTTTGGTATAAAATAATAGAACCATGACTTTTTAAACATGTTATCAATTATCATTCAGGTATCATGGGAAGTCGATGCCATACAAAAAAAGTTAAAGTACTGCGCCATCTATTAAAAACGTGATAAATCAGCAAGCGGTGGAACTTTTCTCAAACTATGTGTTACGTCATGTGTACTCGTATTTATTTTAATAACCAACACTCACAACAGATGTCGCCACCCTATTTTTGAAATAAAATATCTCTGAAAGATATTTATTTACATTTTCCATTACAATTTCGTAAAGTTTACCTACTTCAAAAAGAATAGGTACGTAGTACTATTATTTATTCTGTGGAAAAGGGATAACCAATTCAATTGCGTTTTTTTTTTGGCGGGAACTCCAAACGAGGCGGTCGATTTAATAATTTTTACTGTTTTCGTTAAAAATATCCTGTGTAAATATTACCAAAACTTATTTTAGTCAGTGTAAATAATTGTACATTGTGTGAATTATCAAAATGAATGAACCGGAGGACCCAGGTGGAACTCCGAAACGATCCAAAATTGTACGTAAAAGAGGTACAAAGAAATGTGGACCGGAAGTAGGCGGTTTTGAGGATGACTTTATTCCGTTTTTTAAGCCAGGTTGTCTGAGACTTTATCCTGAACATTGTACAAATACGGACTTCGAAGTTTTTGTTGAAAGCCAGGACCAACAAGTTAAAATTGGAAATAAAAGCCCAGTTTACTTAAATCATATTTTTACTTCGGAGGTGAAAGGTGTGGTAGCTTTACATAGAGTCAATGCCAATAAAATTGCGGTTGTTTTTAAACAATACAACACTGCAAATAATTTCATCACAAATACAGACTTTTTAACAAAGCACAACTTGAAGGCACATATTCCTGCAGCGCAGATAGAAAAAACTGGAGTCATCAGATATGTGACTACCAGCATTTCGAACAAGGATTTACGGATTATGAAACTGTCTTCGATCTATGAAATTATTTCAGTGAGAAGATTCACGAAAAAAGTCGGTCAAAGTACTGTAGGTCTCGAGACTGTCAGATCGCTTCTCGGCCTTTTGGCTAAGATCAAAGTGTAAAGTGTAGTATAACTTTCTTATCAAATGTTCTGCCCGATAACGTCCAATATGACCTATTTTCGTTCAGGGTGTTTGAATATGTCCCGCCGTTACAGCAATGCTTCCGATGCTTCAATTTCAACCACCCTACGAAAATTTATAATGGTAAACAACGTTGCTCGATATGTGCTGGGGAGCATAATTTCAGAGACTGCGACAAAAAAAAGAACCTGTGTTTTGTCAATTGCAGTGGCCCTCACCTGGCCATTTCCAAATCTTGCCCAATAAAAATGAAAAAAAAAGTACTTGAAAAAAAGGGTAAAATTACTTATGCCTCTGTGGCTAATACAATTACGTCATCTGATTTTCCGTCTTTACCGGCACAGTCGAGCAGCATTGTTAAGACCCTACCATCAATAAGCCAAAATATACATAAATTAAATAAAAATGTTAAAATTGTAAATAATGTAAATAAAACAGTGCCTCAACCCAACTTGAACCCAGTTTCCAACAATAAGTTGCGGGTTGAATTCGACAACGAGACCCAGCTTAAAGACACCCTCACGCGGCTTCAGGGGAAAAGTGAGCTTAAAGCGAAAATTAAGACCTATGGTCATTCTTAAGGGAATCTCTAAGGATGTTCCAGCCGATGACTTAATTCAGTCCATCAGTCGCCAAAATACAGTATTAACTGAACTGATTAACAATGGTGGTGGTGAGAACCTCAAGTTGAGGTTTAAACGTGAAAACAGAAACGCCAATTTGTACAACGCGGTATTGATAGTAGAACCCAAACTATACAATAAAATGCTCGACATGGGTCGAATCGGTGTCGAATATCAGCGATTCCACGTAGCTAGCTTCTCGCCGTTCCTACAGTGCCACAAGTGCCTGCAGTTCGGTCATACTAAATTAAGGTGCACTGCGGACCAAAATCTCTGCTCATATTGTGCGAGCACGGAGCATGATGTGGGCAAATGTCCCAATAAAGATAAGCCCAACAGTGTCAAATGCTACAACTGCCACACTCATAACACGCGCTTCAATACAAAAATGGATACCAAACACACGGCCAACTCAAACATCTGCCCACGATTGCGAGCCATGAGGGAGAAGATTAATAATCGTGTCGATTATGGATATACACCGTAAATTAAAAATTTTACAGTGTAACATCGACCGATCCAAGAATGCGCAACACGAGATTCTTCTCTCGTTCATGGCAGGTGATTATGACATCGCCCTCATCTCCGAGCCATACGTTGGCTCTGGAGATCAGGTTAAATCAGTGATTGGAATTGACACATACCAGTTCTTCACGGGCAGCAGGGTTAAGGCTTGCATCCTGGCAAAACCAGGATGCGGGTCCATCTTGGGATTATCTCAGTTTTCAACATCCAACTTCTGCGTTATCAAACTTACTACTGGAAATCGCAATGTTTATATTGCATCTATATATGTGGAACCAGACAGGGACGAGCTAGCAACGCTCGATAAATTAGATGTCATTCTTAAAGACACAGGTGATGTTCACAAGATAGTGGGGGGTGATCTCAATGGGTGGCACCCAATTTGGGGAAGCGGGAAAACTAACTTACGGGGTAACGAAATCATAGATATTATACACAGCAATGATATGTATGTATGTAACGTTGGCAACGTACCCACGTTTGAAACGGTCACCCACGGGCGAGATCGCTCTTCAATAATCGATCTCACATTTGTTTCTGGCTCCATCATTGATTACATCTCGGAATGGCGTGTTAATTTGAATATCTGCCCAACTTCCCAGCATAATGCTATAGACTACTGCATTGATTTCAACACAACCGACACAACACACACCCACCAGAACTCCACTTTTTTATACAAATCAAACAAAGCCTGTTGGCCTATTTTTCAAGACAAACTGCACACTCACATGACACTCACAAACATACTTGAACAGGACATTTCTATCTTGAACGTTGATGATCTGGATCAGGTCATCGCCGAGCTCACTAATGTGATCCACTCTGCATGCCGGGCAAGCATGCATGTTAAAGGCCGGGGAACAAAGCCGAAGGCTCCTTGGTGGACGGAGGAATTGGAGACCATCAAGCGGGAAGTGGTGGATTTGCACCACCAGCTTCATGCTGCTAAACGCCAAGGTTTGCCTTTGGACCAGATTTTGGAGGCACGCAAATCTATAAAGGAACTTTACGCTAGCAAAATGCGTGATGAGTCGACCAGGCATTTCCGTGAGTTCTGCGAGTTGCAAACTAAGGAAAATGTCTGGTCACTCACAAATAGGCTACTCAAAACTGCCACCCCTAGGCGCCCAGCAGTACCCTCAACAGAGACGCAACATACACCACCGATAGCCAAGAGACTGCTAAGGCACTTTTGGACCACTCTTACCCGGGTGACTCACCCGACACCTTACCACGACATCACGAATTAAGATCTGACATGACCAACTCTCCTCAGTCCCATTACGACCCTCCCTTCACTCAGGAGGAGGTGTTGGAGTGTTTAAGACAAATGAATCCCAAAAAGGCTCCCGGACTCGACAACTTAACATCAGACATATGTTTACAGTTTGCGACAGACTATCCTAGACTCTTGACTGACATACTTAGCCGCTGTCTTGCACTCCAACACTTCCCTAACCAGTGGAAAACCGCTTTTGTCAAAATTATCCCGAAGCCGGGTAAGTCTGACTACAGCGCATTAGAGTCATTTCGTCCTATTGGCCTGATACCTGTGTTCGGCAAGCTGCTGGAAAAACTGTTCATTAGAAGAGTCACATACCATGCACAACGAAATAATCTGTTAAACAAATTTCAGTTCGGTTTCCGGGAACAGACCAACACCCGCGAAGCTATAAACACTGCGCTCGATATAATAAGACAAGCGAAAAGTAATAAGCAACTAAGTATCGCTATATCTTTAGATATAAAAGCAGCCTTTGACAACGCTTGGTGGCCGGCACTTTTCCACCAATTGCGGCATATCCAATGTCCTAATAACATCTTTGGACTCATTCAGGATTATGTCCGCGATCGGGAGGTCATTCTCGACTATGCAGGGAGGCGGGTCACCAAGACGATGTCTAAGGGCTGCATCCAAGGCTCCACGTGCGGCCCTGTTCTCTGGAACATAATATTAGACGAATTACTCGACACCAAACTTTCAGCAGGTTGCCAAATACAGGCCTTTGCGGACGACGTCCTGCTGGTTGTTACGGCCGCGAGTGCGGGCAAACTGGAAAGCGCTGCCAACTTGGCTCTCCATCACATAGTCGAGTGGGGAAGAAGCGTCAAGTTGGCATTCGGCCCTACCAAGACTAAGCTCATTGCCTTCACTCCTAAGGCTAAGACAGCCAGCATTAACATCGACGGACACCGACTTTGTTTTGTTCCAGAGGTGAAACATTTAGGAGTCATCCTCGATGAGAAATTTAATTTCGGTAAACATGTGAAACACGTAGTTAACAGGGCCGTGCGGATCTTCAACACGCTCTGCATGTACTCGAGACCCACTTGGGGAGCCCATCCTGAAAACATCAGCACCATCTACCAGCAGGTCATCGTGCCAACGATCACCTACGCTGCGGGAATTTGGGGCCACGTCGCCCAGAAAAGGTGCATCAGGAGGGCACTCGAGAGCATGCAGCGCGGGTTTGCCATCAAGGCTATTAGGGGATTCCGTACGATCTCCACAGCCGCGGCACTAGCGTTAGCCCAATTCGTACTTCTGGACCTGAAAGTCCGAGAAGTCTGCGCTGTAGAAAGGGCTCGGCTCCGGGGTATCTCTGACCACATACCCAGCGATATTCCGTTAGAAAAACCCACCCCCGTCTCCGAGCTACTTCATCCCGCCCAACGTATCTCCCTAACGAACAGAACCTATACAAATTACCTATCAATTCAACCTCTACATGGACAGACCACACATTGTATATTTACGGATGGAAGTAAACAGGAGGATGGTGCAGTGGGGGCCGCATTTGTTGGATATCTTCCAACAAATCTTGATGAAATAGCCTACACCAAAAAATTTTTACTGCATTACACATGCACAGTGTTCCAAGCCGAGCTATTTGCCATTTTACAGGCATGCAGGTGGATCAGAGAACACAAATATGCGCACACAATCATTTACACTGACTCACTCTCATCCATACATGCCATACAGAACAGAAGCAATACACACCCCATTATCACACAAATACACCAAATTATTCATGAACACAGTAAAATAGGCATTATAGAGTTGGGATGGGTCAAGGGTCACTCAGGCATAGCTGGTAATGAGGCAGCAGACATTGCTGCGAATGCCGGCTTAAAGTTACACAGACGGCCTGATTACTCGGCCTATCCCATTTCGTACCTTAAACAAATCATCAGAACTCAAAACCGTGCAACCTGGCAAGCTAGGTATTATAGCGCAGAACGGGGCCAACATACCAAAAGACTGCTTCCGACACTGGAGGATATCGAGAGGCTACGCACCCTCACCAAACCAAGTTTCTACCTCACCCAGGTGCTCACCGACCACGGTTTCCACAAATATTATTTATGCCGCTTTAAATTAACCGACGATAATTATTGCCCATGCAACAATTACACCCCACAGACGCTGGAGCATCTTATAGAGCATTGCCCTGCATTTTCAGTACAAAGACTTAGTCATGTGATGAGGTGCGAAAACTTAAGAACCTCTCCGTTTAACCTGATTAACTTAATGAAGAAGAAATCCCTTCTGGATTCCTTTATGCAATTTGTTAATAGCATCATTAAAAACCTCAAAAACTTTAATAAAAACTGTACATATGTAAATAGAAACAACTAGTTATTAAGTACTTTTTCTTTAAACTAATCTTTAAATAAAAATCATTCATAGTTATTGTATTACATATGTCATTTTAATTTTTTTTGGACTAAGATTACCCCTCATACTCTTAATATTTTACCTCATCGTTAAAACAAAGCATTTGGCTATGTTTAGGAATAAGATTACCTCTAGTTTTATTTTATATCATTTTGTCCATAGTAATGTAAAAATACCATTTTTAGGGTTCCGTAGTCAACTAGGAACCCTTATAGTTTCGCCATGTCTGTCTGTCCGTCTGTCCGTCCTCGCTTAATCTCTGTGACCGTTAGCACTAGAAAGCTGAAATTTGGTACCAATATGTGTATCAATCACGCCGACAAAGTGGTAAAATAAAAATTGGAAAAAAAATGTTTTATTAGGGTAGCCCCCCCTATATGTAAAGTGGGAAGTGATTTTTTTTTTAATTTCAACCCTTACGTGTGATATATTATTGGAAAGGTATTTAAAAATGAATAGGGGTTTACTACAATCATTTTTTTGATAATGTCAATAATTTCAGAAATAATCGCTCCAAAAGTAAAAAACAATGTGTCCCCCCCCCTCTAACTTTTGAACCATAGGTTTAGAAAATATGAAAAAAATCTGAAAGGTAGAACTTTATAAGGACTTTCTAGGAAAATTATTTTGAACCTGGATGGAAACAGTTTTTGTACAAAAAAGACAAAAAGTTGTCCAAAATAATTTCTGGACTAAGTTTGTAGTATAATCGTATAAGCAGGAATTTTTTTAACTTCGTTTACATATTTTATTATCCTGAACGTATCTTTTTTCAAACAAAAAAAAGAATTATTAAAAAATTATCCAAAATTACCACCGAAAACTTCTGGCACGTCTATGTATTAATTAGTAACCCAATTCCCTGAGAGATGGCGCTGTAGGTACTTATTACATTGGGTCGGGTTATCGAATTGTTCGGTTGGTCTCTCCTTGGCATCGCCTGTCGCGGAGCGTGCAATGTTGCACGCTCCAGGTTCGCGCACGTACCCACTACCGGGAGCAGTTGCAGGAGCGCGGAGCGCTGCTGGAGCGCGAACATAATGGATACCCACCTTTACACTCATAAGTGGGAACACTTATTGTGAAGGACGGGAAACTACGGAACCCTACACTGAGCGTGGCTCAACACGCTCTTGGCCGGTTTTTGTTTTATTTTGTTGCTCATGGAACAAAGACTTCTCATAGTCTTCTTTAAATTTTCTACTTGACTGTGTCATTATACCATGTTATTTTGTGCCTAGAATTAAGATTACACTTGATTTATTTTACACTCATTTTATTGTTAATAACATTGTTATTATGTTATTTTGTTATATCAATGTTATTATTGTGTTTAGTATTAAGATTATCCTGTGTGTTTATTCCATTTAAATTTTATTTTATTCGAATTTAACTGTCTTAATAACAATTTGTATATGTTTAGACATAAGAATACTTTATATGTTTTACTTTGTCAATTTCATTGTCACTAAATTATTCCGTCATTTTTGTGTTTAGATTTAACATTATTCTGTGTATTTATTTCCTTTAAGTTTACTCTCTTTATGCTACTCTGTACTCTGTCCGTATTTAGTGATAAGACTACACTATTCCACTTTTGTTTTATATTATAAGATTATTTAACCAGTTTGTCGTCATTGTACTAATTCATTATACTAGAGACGTTATATAACTGCTCTAGTTTAAAGTTAAGACAATTTTTTTGTTTTTAGTTTTTATTTTATATTTCATTTCATTATTTTCATTTTATTGTCATCCCGTTTTTAGTCTAACGGGGTGCGCGGCATGCGCGAGTCTATAAATAACAAAACGTCAATGTCAATCAAACGATTATTTTCTCCGAACAACACCTATGTATAATATGTAAAAAAAATGTTGAGAATTGTAGTAATATGGGGAGAAGGAAAGCGCGTTATGTATCAAATCTCAGAAACGCGCAACCAGCTCCGTACGTGTAATAGTTATATTAAAAAAAATTTAAAACAAAGCGAAACTTATCTGTGGAATCTGACAATATACTCCCGTCGGTGGGGGTGTACCCTCCGGCGGAAATCATAAAAAGAACCAACTTGAACCAAACTTAACTTAAGGCTCAAATTGCAAACAATAAGAATATTCCGATGGCAATGGTTCAAACTTTAGTTGAATTGGGTAATAAAACAGATAATGAACTTGTGACTACATTCTTCATTAAAGACTTACTTTTAAAAAATCTGTCACATTAATGGACAGTACAGTACAGAACATACAGCAGTTATGTATATCTCAGTACAATATTCAAAGTACACATAGGAAAAAACCTTTATTGTCTAAATTTTTAGCTGAACAAAATGTTAATATATGTCTACTCAATGAAACTTGGCTTAAAGATACTCAGCATTTTAAAATTTCGGGATATAATTCCCACTATTATAATGCCCAAAATGAGCACGGTGGAGTAGCGATTTTGATTAAACCGTATTTTAAATATAATATTATTCAAACCAGATTTTACCAAGACATTCAGACTATAGCATTATTGTTATATGTAAGTGGTAAACCCTTAACGATTCTATGTGTATACTGCCC